ACCTTCTCCCTCACCCCCACTCTGTCATCTGGGGACTCCAATACTCCCAACTAAGGACACTGGGACATGTGTCTTGTGTTAACTGCCCAGAGGTGCTGCAGCGTGAGGGAGAGTAAAGGAAACAGGCCCTCATCACCCCTGTCATCCTGAGTCTGCAGGACTTTCCGCACCAGCAGCTTAATTCCAGTGATGTCCGCCCCACCGGGAGGACAGAGCCGTCCTCCTCCTGATGCAAAGTCAAACAGGGACACCGTCTCCACCCACGGGCTTCCTCCCACTGACGCCTGGAGGTGGAGACAGGCCTGTCCAGAGCTCCTTCGGTCCCCACTGTCCTCTGCTTCCTTCGCCCCCCTAGCCCTGCGACCCACCGTGGCCTCTATGAGGGCAGCCCAGGCCTTTGTTCTCATGGACCCGTGGCCCAGCCAGGAGGCCCAGGTCCTAGGGGATGTGTTCTCAGAGCAGGCGACATGAGGCTGAGGGTGGCTCAGGACAAGGTCCCCCTTCCCTGTGTGAATGCCGGCTTGGCGAGCAGCAGCGACAGGCTCCGCACCCTGACCCAGGAGGTGAGGTGGTGGCTGTCCTGATGCCGGCCATCCACTCCACTCTGACGCTGCAGCAGAGAGCCAGTGAGGCAGGGCTGCCGGCACCCAGGGTCCTGCTGCTCTCCCCCCTCACCTGGGCCCCGGTGTAGACTTCAGGTGGCCGCACCCAGGGAGATTTCCCCACCTCTCCCTCCTCGCCCCACAGGCCCACAGGTCCCTCCGGAGGGACGTCGGCAGGAAATACAGTAGACTGGGAGGATACACACCAACGCTGGGGTGAGGGGGCTTTTATTTTCTTCTTTCTGCTTCTCCATTCTTTCCAACTCTTCTATGATGAGCACATATTGTAGACTGAAAATGATGGCAGCAGGCCTCTTTTTATTAACTAGCTTTTTCCTAGTGTATGAGAGATTGGGGCACATGTCACAAACTCAAGCAGACTACAAAGATGTCAGGTGAGGAGGAAAAGGCCCCTCCGTATTCCTGTGGCCCACCGCCCAGAACGGAGTGTGGTCCACAGCTGCCTGATGGACCTTTCAGGAAGCATCTGTGCACAGGCCTCAGCCTTCCTCTGCTTGAAGTCTTCTACTCCTAGCCTCGTCTCTCGGATGGGGCCGCATGGAGCACACCTGCTCACCATTAGCTAATGTCATGGCAGAATACATCAATTGTAGGAGCCCGGGTTCACCCAGGTTCATGGCGGTATGATTCTAGTAGCCAAGAAGTGGAAGCAACCAGCATCCATTGACAGCTGAATGGATAAACAAACATGCTGTATCCATACACTGGAATACTATACAGCCCTGAAAATAATGAAGTACTGTCACATGCCACATGGATGAACCTTGAGGACATTATGCTAAGTGAAATCAACCAATCACAAAGGGACAAATACTGTGTGATTCCACTTCTATGAGGGACCTAGAGTAGTCAGATTCATACACACAGAAAGTAGAATGGAGGTTTGCCAGCACTGGGGAGAGGGGGTACAGGGAGTTAGTGTTTAATGGGAACAGAGCTTCAGTTTGGGAAGATGAAGATGTTCTGGAGGTGGTGACGGTTGCACAACAATGTGAATGTAGCTAATGCCACTGAACTGTACCCTTAAAAATGCTTAAAATGGTGCATTTTACATTATGTGTCTCTTAGCACGATGAAAACAGAGTAAGTGCCTTAAATGGCAGCTCTTATCGTCACTGGAGCTCCTGGGATGACATCATAATAGGAGTTAACAGTGGGTGAGCGCATGCCAGGGACCTTGCTATGTGCTGTACACAGAAAGTGTTAACTTGGCCAATCCCATAATAATCCCGCGATGAGGTGTTATCATGACCCCATGTGACAGGGGAGGAGACCGAGGCACACAGCAGTAAGTGACCTGCTCTCTGTCACATAGAGGGGTGGAGAAGGGCTCACATGTGGGTGGTTGGAGCCCCAGCCCACACTTGGACCATTCAGCTGGGGGTGGGTGAGGGGAGGTGGGTGCACCCCCGGGGGGAGACGGGAGGTGTTCCCTGCAGCAGAGGCATCGGTGGCTCTCCCTCCCCCTCACCCTCCTCCTGCCTCCCTCCCCCATCCCCTGAGCAGGTAGGTGAGGATGCTGCTGCGGCTGGGAGAGCAGCTGCTGGCGGAGGTGCAGGCATGGTGGAGGGTCAGGCTGCGGTGGGCCAAGGCGTCAGGGTGAACCGGTGGAATGGTGCAGCTGTTGCAGACGCCACTCTCAAAGCCTCCGTCGTCCACTGAGGAAGGTGGAAACACAAAGGACACACATGGTGGGCTGGGCTCAGGATGAGCAGCATGTGTGAGTGAGGAAGACCTGGGGTCCTGCTGAGGTGGCCTGGGCCAGCGATGCCCAGGTGGGTGTGATCCTTGGGTGGGCATCATATCTGGACAGCTGTGAGACCAGGCAGGTGTGATACTGAGGTGGTTATACACAGGTGATGCCCAGGGGGGTGTGATACCCAGGCAGGTGTGAGACCAGGCAGCTGTGATACCCAGGTGTGCATGAGAGTCAGCAGGCATGATACCTGATGGGGAATGCCACCAGGCAGGTGTGATACCTGGGTGAGCATGTTAGGCAGACATGTTAGCAGGTGGGCATGACACCTGGGGGGGCATGACACCTGGGGGGCATGATCCTCTAGCAGGCATGATACTCCGGCAGGCACGTCAGCAGGCAGTGGCTGAATGGGTGGACACAGAGCACTCCTGGGCTGTCCTGGGCTGTGCAGACACTGCAGGAGGCAGAGCAGGAGGGCCATGCCAAGGGCACGTCTGAGGACCTGGGTGAGTGTGTGCGCATCCCGCCCACTGCCTCTCACTGATGCACAGGACCCATCCCCAAACCTAAAGAGACCTTGAAGACTGTCTAGTCCACCCCTTCACCCTACAGGAAAGCGAGAGAGGCCCAGAGAGGCGAGGCGCAGCACCCAAGGCCGCACTGCTGGGCAGTGGGGACCAGGGACGGCCACCTGGCTTCTACAATCATACCAAGCTACTTCCAACCGCTCTGAAGTGGAGGAGGTCAGGGACACTTGAAAGCAGCTGGTGGGAACCCCCGGGGCCAGCACCTGCCCCAACTCCCCCAGCAGCAACTGGGGAGGTGTCCTTGAACAGAGGGGCATAGTCAACCTCCTGTTGGGCCATCATCCTCCCCCCACCAAACCCACTGGGGCGTGAGCTGATGGCTGCCGAGCAGACGGGGGTGCTGAGGTCGCACCCTTTTGACGCGCAACCTGCCCGCAGGCCCAGGAGGGGAAGCTTCCCTTCTCCAGACCTGCTCAGAGGGTCTCAGCACTTGGCTCTGCACCTGCCATGGATGGAGCTGTGCCCCCCAAATTCACGAGTGGAAGCCCTAACCCCAGTGTGACTGTGTCTGGAGACAGGGTCTTTAATTAAGGCTAAATGAAGTCATAAGGGTGGGGCCCTAATCCCACAGGATTGTGGCCTTATAAGGAGAGGAAGAGAGAGCTCTCCCTCCTCTCGTGAGGACACAGCGAGGAGGTGGCCATCTGCAAGCCAGGAAGAGAATCTTCACCAGCACCTGACCTCTCTGACCCTGATCTTGGACTTCCAGTCTCCAGAACTGTGAAGAAGAAACACCTGTTGTTGAAGCCCCCTGCAGATTCTGTGCCTGTGTCCCAGGGAGAGGGGAAGTTGATGGGAGCCCCTCAGGGGAGAGCTGTTCATGGTACAGTTAGCTGAAGGGCCTGGCCCAGAACACAAAGTTCATCAGAAAGAGTGAACCTGACAGAGGGCCAGACCTCAAAATAGGAAAAAATCGAGTTGCCTTGTGACAGCTGGGCCTGGGTCACCCAGGTTGGAAGTCTCCTGAACAGAAGAGAGCTGGAGGAACTTGGGGTTTCTGGGAGGGGATGGGGTTCGGGGAGGTGGGGGGTGGGCTGCGCCCTTCAGCCAGGAGAAGGAGAGCTGAGCCACAGCGCTATGGGGTCTGAGAAAACGGTGGGGAGGAGGTGAGAGCCCCAGGGCACCCTGGCTGGTCTCGGGGGACTTGGGCACCAGCCCCTCTTCTGGCATCCCCTCTGGGATCTGTGGATCCCTGAGTTCCGGAAAGCCGCAGGAGCTTCCCGAGCTGGGGGTCCGCAGGGTTAGCCCAGGCTGCTCTGGGCACCGGTGGGAGTGCAGGGTCAGAGCCGGGGCAGGAGTGGGGTGCTGAATGCTGGGCCGATCCCTGCAGAGCCCGCGGAGGGAGAGGCCGCCCCTGCCTCTCTCCCAGGAGCCGACCACGAAGAGTCTGGGGGCAGCAGAGAGGCGAGATGGGGGGGCGGTAATACGGCTGCAGGGCACGCTGGAGGGAGCACTGACTGCCGGTGGGAGGGGCGAGTGGCCACTTCTGGGGGCGACAACAAGCGACCGTGGAGGCTGTGCCCGGGGTGGCGGCGGGTGGCGGGTCGCACTCACCGAGGGTCCACAGCACGTTCCGGGGCCGCCCGGTTCGCGCAGCGGAGCCCCAGGACCTGCAGCACAGCCCGGCCCCAGTGAGCGCAAGGAGGCGGCTCCAGACCCCAACCTCCCGCGGGCATCAGGTTAGCACCAGACCCCGCCCCGGATCCGCCCCGCGCCGAGGACACGGGCACGTCGGGCCCCGCCCCCGGACGCCCCGGCCCCGCCCCTCGCTCCCACTCTGTGGTTCCTGCGGCCCCGGCTGAGGCGACTCGACCCGGAGACCTCGAGCTGCGGCGCCAGGTGAGTCCGCGGTGGGCGGCGCGCCCGGGACGGAGTGGGCGAGCTGCCGGGGACGGGCCGGGGTCGCCCGGGGCGGCGGACGCGAGGGGCGGTGCGGGTCCGAGGGTGCGGGCGGCTCCCCCGGGGACCCCCATTCGCCACCCACCGCGTCTCCCCCTGGGACCCCCATTCCCCACCCACCGCGTCTCCACCCGGGTCCCCTCCGCCCTCCGCCTTGTTGGGCCGGCGGGCCGCGAACCGTTAGCCGGCGTGGGGTCTCCACCCTTAGACCCCAGGGTTCGGGCAGGCGGCTTCGGGGCTGGGGGCCGGGTTCTGTCCAGAGCAGGCTCGAGGGGTCCAGGGTGAGGGGGGTCTGGGGCCGGCTCTGCGACAGGGGGCGCCAGGATCCTAGAGGACGCTGCGCACCCTGAATTAATCGAGGAGCCTCTGGTTTTCTCCCAGAACCGACTAGAAGCCCTGGGGCTCCTCTGGGGATGTGAATGGCCCAGTGGGGGTTGGGGTAAGGCGGGGCCTCAGGATGGGAGACACCCCCTTCCAGCGCTGCAGCCCCCCTTAGTGGGTGAAGCCCCGCATGGTGTGCACATGGAAATCCTCTAGTCCCTCAGGGCCTCCAGTCCCCCCACCCACACCCCGCCAGCCAGGTGAGGGTGCCCCCGGGCTTCTCTCTGCACTGCTCCCCATTAAATTCTCTGGGGAGGGGAAAAAAAAAGCAAACAAATTCTCCCAGGAGGAGAAGCCGTGAGTCTAATTAGTGTTTAGACTTCTCATTGAGAAAGCTTTTCTCACATTCTCCCCGGCCAGCGTTGATGGAGGGAGAGAAGGCCCCTAGGGTTTGGGCAGGTGGGGTTCAGGGGAAACAGTGAGCCGGTAGGGGGGACATTCCACCTTTAGTTGAGGCCTCCTCTGCACGGGTTGTTCCTTCCCCTCTCAGACCAGCAAGGGAGCGATTAAACATCTGGGTAAGACCTCCTGGAGGGGAGACAGATTGTGCCTCTCTTGATGCCCCTGGACCCTCCCCCCCACCCAGCCTTGTTGCTGGGTTCTCTGAAGCCTAGACCCTGACTGCTGGTCTGTGTTGCCCCCTCACCCACCCAGGCGTGCCCTATTCTGTGAAGGTGCTGGCTCAGGCCAGGCCCTCAGGCCCCTGCGTGGCCCACCAGCCCTCTGCTGCCCGCCTGCAGCCCTTCAGAGACAGCTGCCCATCCCTCCCTGGCTGTCCCACTACTCTGTGCAGTGGGTGAAGATGGACTTCATGGTCAAGTTCTCAGTGTGGCTCACGGTCATTCCCCAGTCACCAGCCTATGCTGAGGTGGCCTGACTCCTGCCCCAGGTGAGATGTCTGTCCCTGCTGCCGGCCACATGCCCTGTGCAGGCCCTGACCCCACTCTGGGCCTCAGCTTGCACTTAGAAATGGTAGAAATGCATAGTATCCCCTCCAGACAAGCGGGGCACCCAGGGTTCCAGCCCCATGGGGCCAGGAAGCCTTGGTTTACAGCCTTGGCAGCCTGTGACTGCCTTTGGGCAGACACACGCCCCTGTACCTGCTCTTGTCACACACAGGCACCCAGCGAGTTCTGGTTGCCTGAGGGGACAGCGGAATGGCTCACTGCAGCCCTAAGAACGCTTTCTCAGACTCACGCTCACAGAAGCTCACAGGTCAGGTCTTTGTGCTCCTGCAGGTGGCACCCGGGGCCCCAGTTGGGTTGGGGGAGGAAAGAGGTCCCCTGATCCCTGCAGGTTACACCCGTGGATAATAGAGGGTGAGTGTTTACCCTGCCTGTGTGCACTGGTGTGCCCAAAGTACCCAGTGGGCACACAGACCCCTGTGCTCAGACGTCTACACCAGGGACCCTGTGGGCGTGCTGTGTGCCTCCTGGGTGCGCGTCCCTCTCTCTCCCCAACAGTACGGCCTCTACCATGCCTTCATGGGTGCTTCCTGCATTTCTTCCCAGGCACCTCCTGGGATGTGACTCTGGGCCCCACGGCCATCATGTCCCTCCTGGTCTCCTTCTGCACCTTCCATGAGCCCGCCTGTGCTGTGCTGCTGGCCTTCCTGTGGGGCTGCATGCAGTTAGCCATGGGCTCCTGCGCTTGGGTAAGACTCTCGGGCCTTCCTGCTGTGGTGGGGGCTGCGGTTCTGCTCTTCCTGGGGACCCGAGGCACCTGCCTCCTGGTGATGCCCCTGCCCTCAGCTTTTCCTTCTTTGCATTTCGAGGGCTGTCCCTGCATGTGTGTGTGCGTGTGCGTGTGTGTGTGTTGGGGAGGATGTGCCCTCAGCCCTACCCCATTCTGCTTAGAGGCCAGGACACTTGGAGAAGTGCCCAGGGCCTCAGAGCTAGCCTCCCTTTCCTGCTCTCCAGACCAGCCCAAACAGGGCATGTCACCCACCACCTTAGCTCCAATCCCACCCACACTCCTTCTCCCAGCCCACGTCCACCCGTGTCCTCTGGGACGGGGCAGAGCTGTGACCACCTCGGTATTTCCTCCTGGCCGGCCAGGGTTCCTGCTGGACTTCATCTCCTGCCCTGTCAGCCGTTAAAGGTTTCACTTCTGCTGCTGCCATCACCATGGGCTTCGGGCAGATGAAGGTAGGCTCGCTAGTGGGCACCGGGGCACCTGCAGTGTAGCAGGACCAAGGCAGGGTCCTGATATGTGTGGGCCAATGGACATCTTGCTGTTCCAGAGCTCGAAGGACGTGGTGCTTGCGTGGGGCCATAAATGAAATGACCCTTTGGTTTGGCAGAGGGTCAGATTCTACATCAAGTTATTTGGGGACCGGTAATGACAGCCCCCGCTCTTGGTGGAGTGTTCCCCCGGTGCGCTTGGATCCATCACAGAGTGGTTCTGTTCCACTGTCTCTGCTGCACGCTCAGCCAGCAGCCTTCACAGGTCACAAGCATGCTGCCAAAATTTCCACGAGCAAATGATTCCCCCATGCTCATTTAGCTAGGTGATTTCATTTTTATGGTTTTTTCCAATTTCTGTTGACTATTTTCAAATGCCGTGTGTTTTTATATTTCTATTTAAACCTCTATAAGAAGTGCTAGATGGATGATCACCAGTTATCTGAGGACGTCATCTATTCTCCTTTCACTGGGTTGAAGTTCCTGGGAGGCAGGAGCTGTTTTGCTCCGACCGTGACCGCCCAGCGTGTGCTTGGTATAAAGTGGGTCAGCGCTCAGGTGTGCAGGATGGACCCGAGCTGCATTGTATAAATGAAGCCATGGGGCACCTGCCTCGTGACCTGGTGTCCCCACCCGGGCCTCTCCAAGGCCTGGTTCCCACGGCAAGGCTCTGCTCCAGGCTGGCCCGTGACAGTCTTCCCTGACGGAGGGCAGTGAGCAGATCAAGGGCAGGAGGAGACGTGTGTGAGAATCAGGTGGCTGACACTTCTTCCCTCTTACTCTGTGCTGGGACTGGATCCAACACTGTCCCTGTGCTTAATTCTACCACACCCCTGGGAGGCAGGTTTCTCATCATCTCCATCTAGAGAGGAGGGAAGCCCTTAGAAAGGTGTGGGTGAGTGTGGTTTATATATTATGTACACACACACGTCAGGGGAAGCTTGGCAAATGCTGTTTCATGGGGAGGTCTGTCCTTTATTCTGGAAACAATATCCTTCCTTTTTAGTGTCAGAAGTGTTCCTTGAAACGATCATAGTGCGTGTAGAGTGTAGCTTCTTTGTGTGTTTATACTTGCTGATCCTAAGCTCTGCCAAACTCATTAAATCCTTGACTAGGTCACGACAGCCACCTGAGAGCCGCCAGGCTGGGGTGGGGGTGGGTCCTCCTGACCCGCCCAGGACAGAAGTGGAGGAGGTGGAGGTTGGAGGTGTCACCTGGCTAAGCAGAGGGGACTTCTGTGGCTCCACCACTTCAGGCACCTCAGCCCTGGTGAGCGGTGTGCCCCCAGGGGAGTGTATTGTGGTCAGTGATGGACACGTGAACTGAAGGGGGGCAAAGGTTGATGTCAAGAACAGGTACACGCGTCGTTGACAAATCCGAATGTGTTTGTATTTGTGTTTGATCACTCGGGAAAGGTACATTAAAGCCTGATGAATTTTAATAGACACATGCCCTGAAATATCCCTGCGAAAGTACTGAATTTTTCATGATCCTTTGTTACTGTGCCTGCTGGTTGTGCTGATCCACGTTTATGTCTATTATCTAATGTACAATTTAGGATTAGATTCAGGGTCAACAAATAGCCTTTAAAAGCACTGTTGGATTCTTTTTAGTTTTATCCTGATGGCATCCATCACTTCTGAAATCCATTCTAACCACGAGGAGGAGAGTCACTTCAGTGCCTATGACAGGGAATCTTCAGAAGTTTTTAGTTTTAAAATCAGGAATTTAGAAGATTTAGTTCTTCATGATTGCAAAGTATTTATTTATTAATAGTTTAGTTTTTGCACAAGTGATGCTTTTGAAAGAGATATTGTTCATTGGGCTGTTCGACTTCTGAGGTCATCTTTGGGGTGGAGCAGTGATAAATGTGGGTCCACTCTCATATTCAGGGTGCAGATCCCTGTGACCCAAATCTTACACTTCTTTCCCATTTGATGACTTCCCTGTGTTCCCTTCCCCCTGAGTGATGATGATTCTTTTTGACACTTGTGAATATGTTCTTTTAAATCTTAGATGCATTTTTTTTAATTAAAACGTGGAAATCCTCATGAATATTTCAGGATGTCCTGGTACCTAGAGTGTTAACTAATAGAACTCCTCTGGGTTTCCGTTGCCCTAGTTCAGATCCTTCAGTGAACAAGATTCTGGACTCCCTTCTGGGGGTTACTTTCTGTGTTGACGATTCATAATGCAGTCTGTTAAAATCATTGTCACAGCTTTAGTGAGATATGGTTCACATACAATACAAATCACACTTGAAGGTGTGCAATTCAGTGTTTTTTAGTATATTCACAGAATTGTGCAACATCACCACAGTCGATCCTGGAAGCTTTCCATCATCCTTCCGAGAGAAACACCTTTCTCATTAGGAGACGGTCCCATTTCCCCTAACCCCTAAGGCCTAGGCAAACACAAATTCACTTTCTGTTTCTATGGATTGGCCCATTTTGAACATTCCATATCAATGGAATCAAACAATGTGTGACCTTCTGTGTCTGGCTTCTTTCACTCAGCACAATGGTGTCAGGGTCCATCCATGTTGTGGCATGGGTGAGCCCTTCATTGATTCTGATGCTGAATAATATCTACTGTGTGGCTGTAGCACAGGGTATTTCTCCTTTCCTCAGTTGAGGGACATTTGGGTTGTTTCCACTTCTCAACTATTATGAAGATTGCTGCTGTGAACATTCCTGTACAAGATTTTGCGTGGACATCTGCTTTCATTTCTTCTGGGTGTGTACCTAGGAGTGGAATTGCTGGGTCACATGGTAACTCTGTTTCACTATTTGAATACCTGCAAGACGTTTTTCCAAGGTGACTGCACCATTTACATTCCTGCCAGCAGTGTGTGAGGGTTCCAGTTTCCCCATGTTCTCACCAACACTTACCATCTGTCTTTCTGATATAGCCATCCTTTGGGTGTGAAATGATATCTCGCTGGGGTTTTGATTGATATTTCTCTGACAGCTAATGATGTTGACATCTTTTCATGTGCTCAGTGGCCATTTGTATATCTTCTTGGAAGAAATGTGTGTTCAGTTCATTGGCCCATTTTTACATTGGGTTATTTGTCTTGTTATAACTGAGTTGTCATAGTGCTTTATATATTCTAGGTTATGTTTCTTATTAGGTGTTATGAGCTGCAAATTTTTCTCTGTATTGTGGATTGTCTTTTCACGTTCTTAATGGTGTCCTTTGAATCCCAAAAGTTTTGCATTTTGGTCATGCCTAATTTATGCATAATAGAGTCTTACTAGTTGGAAATGATTTAGACATTAAATCATATCCTCATCAATATTTTGTTTATACACATTAAAGGCTAAATGTGAAAGGGTTAGGGGAAGATTTGAATTAGTTCATTTGAAGATTCGCCGTAGATCCAACAGAACTCATCAGGGAAGATATCATTTCTCTGTTCAAATATTTCCTTATTATCCTTTTAATGTTCATGGAATCAGTAATTATAGCCCCTCTCTCATTTCTGATATTAGTAATTAGTGTTTCTCTCTTTTTTTCCTGAGTTAGCCTGGCTAGAGGTTTATCCATTTTTTCATCTTTTTTAAAAACTGGTTTTGTTTTTATTGATTTCTCCATTGATTTCCCGTTTTCGTTGTCCTTAATTTCTGCTGTAATTTTTATTATTTACTCTCTTTTGTTTGCTTTAGGCTTACTTTCTTCTTCCTCTAGCTTAGATTATTGTTTCACATCTTTCTTTTTTCTAATATGTGCATTTACTGCTGTAAATTTCGCTCTGCTTTCACTGCATTCCACGCATTTTGATTAGTTGTATATTCATTTTCATTAAGTGGAAAATATTTGCAATTTCTCTTGAGACTTCTTTTTTTGACCCATACGTTGTTTAATCTGCAAATGTTTTGGTATTTTCCAGCTATCTTTCTACTTTTGTTTCCTACTTTAAAGTCCTTTTTGATCTGAGAACATACTTTATATGATTTCTATTGTTTTAAATTTGTTGAGGATTGGAATTTTTTTTTTTTTACCTGGAATGTGGTCTATCTGATGAATGTTTCATATGAGCTTTTGAAGACTGTGTATTCTTTGTTGGGTGCAGTGTTTTATACATGTGAATCAGATCCAGTTGATGGTGACACCGTTCAGTTCGTCCTTACTGATCTGCCTGCTGCATCCATCAGTTCCTGAGAGAGCAGTGTTTCCTGCTGTACTGGTGGATTTGTCTATTTCTGTGTCTGTCCACTAGGATAGTGGATTTGTCTATTTCCCCTTGCAGTTTTATCAGTTTTTCCTCACATATTTTGTTCTGTTCTGCATGTATGCATGTATGTTGAGAACTGTTCTGTCTTCTTGGAGAATTGACCTCTTTAACATTATGGAATGCCTCTCTTTATCCCTGAGAATTTTCCTTGTTCTGAAGTCGGCTTTGTCTGACATTAATTCAGCTGCTCTAGCTTTCTTTGGATGTGTGTTCCTGGCTGATCTTGTTCTGTCCTTTACTTCTAACCTCTCTGTGTGTTTATAATGAAGGTGGGTTTCTTGTGGACAGCATATGGTTCCTTCTTATTGTTTTAATGTCGTCTGATAAAATCTGTCTCTTAATGGCTGTGTTTAGACCATTCCTATTTAAAGTGATTGATATAGTTGGATTAGTATCCACCATATTTGTAACTTTCTATCCGTTGCTCTTATCTTTCTTTTTTCGTCTTGCACTTTTTTTTTTTTTTTGTGAGATCAGCCCGGTGCTAACATCTGCCAATCCTCCTCTTTTTCTGCTGAGCAGGACTAGCCCTCGGCTAACATCCGTGCCCATCTTCTTCCACTTTATATGGGACGCCGCCACAGCATGGCTTGCCAAGCGGTGCGTCGGTGTGTGCCCGGGATCCAAACCGGTGAACCCCGGGCCACTGCAGGGGAGCACGTGCACTTAACCGCTTGCGCCACCAGGCCAGCCCCATATCTTGCACTTTTTAAATTATTTTTTGCTTTCTCTGGTTTTAGTTGAGCATTTTATGTGATTCCACTTTTTCCTTTAGCTTATCAGTTTTACTTCTTTTACAGTTTTTAAATGGTTTCCCTAGAGCTTACAATATAAATTTACAACTAACCCTCAGTTCACTTTGAAATGACACTGTGTTTCTTCGTGGTTAGTGCATGTCCCGTCTAACAGAGTCTTGCCAGTTCCTTCCTCCCATCCCTTATAAAATGGTTCTCCCACATTTCTCTTATCCATGAACTATTATCACCAAAGGTATTTTTACAATTATTATTTTGAGCAAAATGAATCTGTTAGATCAGTTAAGAATAAGAAAAATAAAGACTGAACACTTGTATTTTACCTTGGTTTATTCCTTCTCTAGGTTCTATATATCTGTCAGCTTAGTTTCTCCTGTGAGTTGGGAAAACAGAGCCCTGATCTCATTTCAGGAAGATGTGGGACACCCCTTCTTAGATGGTTTTGCTAGGGTTTTGCATTTTGACATCATTCTGGAAGTGTGTTCTGATGGTGGAACAACTAATGCTGCCAAGAGCATTTCTGGGAGGGCCCAGGGCTGAAGGGGCCGCCAGCTGCCCTGAAGGGGTCCCACGGAGGGAGGGATGCACTCTCTGCAGAACAGGGGTCCCCTGCCCCCTTGGCCCCAGCCTGCCCTCTCCACCCTTGCCTAGAAGCCCCCAAGGTGAGGAGACAGGCCTGACCCCCCTTCGCTGGGCACCTTCTGTCTTCAGATCAGAGTCCGAATCCACGTCTGAACCCCTCTCAGCCTCTGGGACTCCTGCAGGATGCCCAGCAGCCATTAGCCACCTCTTCCTGCTCTTCGTTCTCCCCAGGCCTCTCGCAGGGACCCCTCATGGTTACGCCCATTTCACAGTTGCAGGTGCTGAGGCTGGGACTGAGCCAGGCCCCTCCTAGAGCACATCCGGGGGTGTTGGCACACCCGCTGGCTGCATGGACCAATCCACTGTGGCATGCAGTGAACAGGTGCCCCGGCAGCCAGTAGAGACGTGATCCCCCCGGTGGCAGTCGCCCTGGCAACCCCATGCTGTTGGTGCTGCAGAAACCAGCGCTGGCCCATGCTGACCTTGAGCCTGCTCCTGGCCAGGGTGCAGAAGGGCGTGCCACAGGCCAGGCGCAGGTCTGGGCACCTCGTGGGCGCTTGTTCCCCGTGCCGACTGGTGTGGGTCCAGGATCGCCCCCATTCCACGGACTGGGGACCCTGCCTGACTCCAGAGCTGGGCTTTAGTCCCTGCACTGGGGGTGGGGCAGCTCTGCCGGGCATCGCACAGGAAGGCCTGGGAACCTTGCAGAGCCAGCCAGCCTCCTCTCTGGAGCCAGAGTCCCGCTCCCACTCTGTGGGTCCCAGTTCTCTCTCAGGCTCCAGTGTCGCATATGCGGCTTCCTCCTCGAGGAACATTCCTCCCAGCTGTGCTTGTAGAACTTCAGAATCTGCAGGTGTCAGCTCAGAGGTCCCTTCTTCCTGAAGCTTTCCTTGTGCCCTCTGGCAGCCAGCAGGATCTGAGAGCATGAGCTCCCCAGGGGCCACATCAGGCAGGGGGCTTCTGGGTTACAGAACTGAGAAGTAGGTGATGACCAGGAACTGGGGGGTGGGCGCCCCACAGAGGCTGCTGCAGCTCGGGGTCCTGGTCTGCGTGGTGGGGTAAGAGAGTGGCTCCTGGGCAGGCTGGCTGGAGGGACCATGACTGGTCCTGCTGGGCTGAGGGTTGGGGGTGTGACTCCTCAGGGGCTGGGCTGGTGGTAGTGGAGGGGGCAGATTGGGACAGGGTGGGGGCAGAAGGAGTGATCTCAGTCTGTGTAGAGGCAGCAGGTACAAGAGCAAGCCGCGTGCTCGTGTCCTCCTGTGTGCCCACCTGCCTCCTTTCCTGGGCCTTGTCCCCAGCCCCATGTTGGGCTCTGGGCACAGAGCAGGATGGGTGTCACTCTGCCCAGGAGGCCCTGGGAGGGGCAGGAGGTAGTCCCTGACACCTGTGAGAGCTGGAGCCCTGGGGCCCCTGAGAAAGACCACAGTGGTGGCTGGGTCAGGGGAGCCTTTAAAGAGGGAGCTGGGTCTGGCCGGGGCAGGGGAGGGTGAAGGCTGGTGAAGTAGGTGGTGGTGGGCATGTTGGTGTGAGACCCTTGGCTCTCCGATGCATGGCCGGAACTTCTGGGCTGTGCAGGGTGTTTGGGGTGGAAATGGGGCTGGAGAAGAGGCAGGGGCCCTGAACACTGTGCTGGGAGCCTACTGGGTTTAAGGGCTGAGTGGGTGGGGCCCAGCTCTGCCACTGCTCACCGTGTGCTGGGGACACACCACACTGCCCATTGCCTCCTCCCCAGGTGGGCCCTCCTTGCCACAAAAGGCTACCAGGAGCAGGACCTGGACCCCAGATTTCTGTCATCGCCAAACTCAAAGGGGTTTCTATGACCCCGATCGAGGAGCTGGGGAACTGTTTGTGGCACATGGCCGACTTGGTGAAGCTGCTGCAGGTGGGTGCCTTGGTGCTGCTGCCAGGCGCTGACACCTCTGACCCCACCCTTGCAGCGAGTGTGTGCAAGAGGGGCACGTGATGCCAGAGGGGGTGCTGGCGCTGTCACAGGGCCGGGCTCAGGAAGAGCCTGACAGAGGAGTGGCCCTGTGCAGGGCTCTCGGGGATATGTATGAAGTTTCCAGGTGGACAGGGGACGGGGCAGGAAGCCAGGCCAGAGGTACTGCGTTCACACAGGCTGCATCTGGAAGAGCAGGGGGTCTGGGAACTCAAGGCTTGAGCTTGAGGGAGGGGTGGAGGGGCAGGGGGCCAGGGCCTGGGCCTCCTGAATGCTCTCCTCCCTGACCTGGGCACTGTGGTCGCTCCTCCTCTGCCCTTCTGACCCCTTCTCCATCCACCCAGATCCTCTACAGCCCCAGTTTCCACCTCTGTTCTGTTGATGCCCCAGTTGTAGCCCCGGTGACCACCAGGCCCGAGCACAGCTGCCTCCTGATGCGCACCCACCACGTCCAAGGAGAAACCCTCTCCCTCTCCCAGTGCGGCCTCTTTTCGTCCACTGAGGGCCATGCTGTCTACCAGGACCAAAGCTGGACCCGGTTCCCCACCTCCCTGCCCCTCGCTCCTGTCCATTCCATTTCCTGACAGGTCTCCCTGCTGCCCCTGCTGTACCTGTGGTCTGCTTGTGGGCCCTCAGGTGCACTCCACACAGCAGCCAGGCTGAGCCCTCACAGGTGACACCATCAGAGCCTGCCAGCCCTTGCTTTCCACCCTGGGAAGGCTCCCTCCCCAAGATGGCGGCCAACAGGTCCCTGGCCCTTCCTGCCACCCTGGTGCTGCGATCCTCCTGCGGCCCCTGAGCCTGGGCCCCTGGACAACGGTATCCACCCTCCACCTGGCAGAACCATGTCTGTGCGAGTGCCTGACGCTTGAGGGCGCTTCCTCTCCGGGGTCTGATGCTCCCAGAAAGCTCGCCACCGTCCCCTCCTGGCTGATGCCCAGAACTCTGTGACCGTGTGCAGGCACTAATGTCCCTGTTTCACAGCAGAGCAAGCAGGGAAGGGACTAGCCTGTGGTCCCTTGGCCAGTTTGTGGGGACCCACATCCCTACAAGGCCCCTCTGACAAGGGTCCCGCCCTTTGTCTGCCACGCCCAGCACCTCCACCCTGGCATGAACTTGCCCTCCCAGAGTCCCTCCACCTTCCCTATTCTGTCATCCGAATTGGACCAGAGGAGCTGGGCCTCGAGGAGTCACTTCTGCCGCCACCGGGGACAGAACTACCAGGAGGGCAGGAGTCTCGCTCTGCCTCAGGATATAGCACTGCACCCCAATCTGACGGGGCTGCTCTCCCTCCCCCTCTCACCACCTCCTTTTATTTGCACCCTCCAGCTTTCCCATGTGCCCCCAAACTCAGGGAACCCTGGGGGCTAAGCAGGGGAGGGGCACGTCCCTGGGGACAGCAGGGCTGTGTCACAAAGGGGAGACACCCCCTGGGCCTGGACAATGCTGCTCTCTCACCACCTCAGCACCCTCCATCCCACTGTGAACCGCTGGGCTGACGAGGACTGTCCTGAGGGGAGACGGGGACTCACAGCCATGGTAACTGTGGGCCTGTCTTCCAGCGCCTCCACTGGGCGGGGGTTCAGGGGGCCGTGCTGGGACCCTGGGTGGCTCCCTCGTGCAGGCCCGGTGGTGCCTCTGTGTGTCTTCTTTCTGCCAACAGCCCCCTGCCCACTCCCTCCCCAGGCCCTGTGGAGACTTGAGGGCCTGGAGTTTGTCTTGTTTTCAAGGAATAAAAACGGGCCAGTGCATGGAGTTCAATGGGACCCACAGGCCCTGTGAGATCCGGGGCTGGTGCCTCATGGAGAGTGACACTGTGCCCATGTAAGTGTCCATGACACCCAGGGCAGGTCCTAGGACCAGCAGAGCCTGCCCCTGACCTCCCCCCCCCTGCAGGAAGCCCCTGCTGCTCCAGGCTGAGAACTTCATGCTGTTCATCAAAAACACCGTCACCTTCAGCAAGTTCAACTTCTCCAGGTCAGCATGGAGGGTCCTGACTGCCCCAGATCCTCCTTGTCCCCTGTCTGGTCCGACCCCCGGCCCCACCCCCTCTCAGGTCCAATGCCTTGGAGACCTGGGACGCCACCTATATCAAGTGCTGCTACTGTGACCCAGGCTTTAGCCCCACTGCCCCATGTTCCGCGTGGGGGACCTCGTGGCCGCAGCTGGAGAGGTCTGTGAGGACCTGGTATTGCTCGTGGGTCTGTGGGGGGCAGGATTCCAGGAGGGCTCCGGGAGAGGGTCCCGGCCCGAGCGCTGGTGGACCACTGATGCACTGTGTGCAGGGCGGGGCCGTGGGCATCCACGTCTACTGTGATTGTGACCTGGACGCCGGGGTCGGTGCGGCCCCACTGCCCACCTGCTGCTCCTCAGCCAGGTCCCCCTCCACCTGTCCTCCTGTGGTGGCTGGGACAGACCACAGCCTGGCCCATCCCTCTGAACCCTCTGCTGTGTGTGGAGGGGTCCCCAGGGGCAGGAGGGACTGCTCTCAGCTCCAGGTCCCCCTGCACAGGCTCCATCTGGCCTCTGTCCTGAGCCCTTTAGCATCCACCCCATATGTCCCCAAGCCCACTGCTGGTGTCTGTTTAGGGACCCTTCTGTCCCTCATCCCCTCAGCAGGCAGGGAGCTTCTGAGAGGCAGGTCCCAGCTTGCTTGTCCCCTGTGTCCTCAGCAGCGACACAGGGCTAAGACCCAGGACTCGGGCTGGGGGTGGATGGAGTCGATGGATGAGTAAGACCAGGCCTGTGACGGGCAACCCAGCCCAGGAGTGGGCAGAGCAGGTCACTAGACCCTCTCCTGCCACCAGGATAGCCGCTCACTGGTGGGAGGCCTCAGGAGTGGAGGCCCGGGGACTCCTCAGACTCTATGGGATATGCTTCAACACCCTTACCACTGGGCAGGTAGGGGACAGGTTGGGGCGGGTGCGAGAGGGTACGAGGTGGGATGAGGGCAACAGCCACAGCAGGAGAGGCTCAGCCCAGGTCTCCCTGAGGCAGGGAAGTTCGGGCTCATCCCCACAACTCTCACTCTGGGCACCAGAGCAGCTTGGCTGGGTGTGGTAGGTGTGGCCAATGTGTCTCCCTCTGGCTGCTGGCAAGCATGTGCCCCCTAAGTGTGCACCTGAGCCTCTGTGCTGACATGAGTCTCGGGGTGAAGGCTGAGGAGGCCACAGGACAGCAGGTTGGGGGTCAGGACGTGGGTCTGCCCTGCCTCTCCCAGATCACCTTCTTCTGTGACCTGCTGCTGTTTATGTGGACAGGGAAGCTTGTTTCTCCTGGAGGACCAAGTCTGAGGAGGGGAGCTGCGGGCCTGCCGGGACCCTGGGCCACACTTTGGAGGATGGTGGCTGGAGCCCCGGCCTGCCGTCCTCATCTGCAGGCAAAGGCCCTGAAGGGCACGGCCAACCCTGAGCAGACAGAGCCGGCTTCCCACCCCCACACCCGGCTGCCCAGGTGCCTTAGAGGGGGCCCAGCACCTGCCCTCACTGCTGCTGCTGGGAGCTGGACACTGTCTCCAGGGTGGCCCTGGCACCCACCCTCTGGCACATTCCTGAGGCCTGTAGCCTTTCTGCTGGTTCGGCGTTCAGGACTGGGAAGGGTGGGGACCCAACCTTGGGGACTGAGGCATGAAGGCCTAGCAGGACCAGGGCAGGGGTGGCAGGAGAATTCCACCCTTCAGTTCCCAGGCAGACTGCCCCTACCCCAACTCCAGCCTCGGCAGGGTGCTGCCTGGTGACTAGAAAACCCACTTTTGTCTAGAGACCTGCAGGGGAACACGACACAGGGTAAAGGTCCAGTGGGGCTCCTGTGGGGTCTGGGTCTGGAGAACGCTCTCCCAGTCTGTCTCCAGTGTTCCCAGCAGCTCCTCGCTTACCAGCTGTACCCACACTGGATGTGGTCGACTCTTAGCCCTGCCTGGCCCCCAGCCTTCCTCACCCTGCCAGCACTTCCCTCGGAGTAGAGCCCCTCCCCTCTCAGCAGCCCTGCCCCGGGGTCTGTGCAGCCAGAGTCCAAGGCAAGGGAGAAGGAAGCCTGACAAGAGGAGTCGTCTCAGCTGCTCTGGGGCTGGGTTCCTAGGGCAGGTCCCTTCCCAGCTCTGGGCCTCATCCATGGAGTGAGGAGTGCGGTGGGCAGATGATCTGATTCCCTAGGACCCCACGCAAGGGCACAGGCACCTCTTGGGCCCAAACCTGCTCAGCTTGTGAGCGCCAGCCCCTTCGTGGTGGCAGCCCTCGGGCTGGGATGGGGAGGGTGGTGGGGCTGAGTTGGTGGGTTTGGGGTCTTTTGGGACCTTCTGTATGTCTCCTCGGTGACCCCCAGCCCAACGCCCTGGAGCCTGCTCACCGAGCGTGCTGGGAGCCATGGGGTGGGGAGGCTGCCTATCTAGATATTATGTCACTGTACTCGAGGTCACACCTGAGAGCATGTCTGGGCAGCTGCCCACCTAGCCGAAGATAACTACACAAGGACCACGCTCTGACCAAGACCCCAGGTGGAGCCCAGGGGCTGGAAAGAATGTCCTTAACAAAGGACATGGAAGCCTCCAGCAGGCTGGCCTGGTTCTGGCTCTGGAATCCTCCAGGGAGCCTGAGTCCTGCCTGCTGGAGAATTTCCCCATGCTCTCAGGATCACGGTCAGGAGGGGAGGGATGGGGGCAGCAGGAGCCAAGCCCTCTCTCAGTCCCAGGGAGGGGCAAGGATTTGGGGGTACCCACCCCAGAGACACAAGGGGCTGCCTTCTCATTGGTCCCTGGTGACCAGGGACATGTTGACAGCTTGCTGGTGGAGTGATGTGGGCCAGGTTGGGGAGGGCCAGGAGTGGGGCTCAGGCTGGGCAGCATCTGGAATCATCTGGCACCTGGAGCCTCAGCAAAGCCTTGGGGTCCCTGCTCCTCTCAATCCCCAGAGTTGTGTCCATGGGAGGTGGGTTCAGAAGGGCCAGGGTGAGAGAACACGGCCCTGAGCCTGGCTATTGGAGCAGGGTCACAAGTACCTGGTTGTCCTTGGGGCCCCGAGAAAGCTGAGGTCAAGGCTGCAGAGAGCCGAGGAGTAAAGCTGCCAGAGCCAGCAGCTTCCTGTGTGGTCCTTACAGGCAGGAACAGGGAGGGGGAGGCGTCTATGGTAGACGTACCATGGCCTTGTGGAGACCAGTGGGGTTGCAGGGTGGGCCTGGGTACCTGCAAGGATGGGGCCCCACTGCCGTCAGGTGGGCTGGAAGGTGCCTGGAGCAGGCCCAGGCGCTTGTGCCCCCACCTGCACGCGTGTGTCCCGTCCCGAGCCTTTATCACAAAGCCCTGAGGGGCAGTCAGGGAGAGAGGCAGCTGGAGAGCTGCGGGCAGCTCTGAGCTTGGAACCAGCTGTGCCTCAGTCAGCACGTGGGTGTGCACCCCCAGGGGAGCCGTGTGGGCCACGTGGGCCTGTGCCTGAGAGATGTGTGTACCCGGGCAGGTGGGCCTCTATACCCGGGGCAGGCCTCAGGCAGATTCCCTGCTCTCTAGGAGCCCTGGGAAAGCGAGGGAACCCCGGAACTCCACTGCCCTTTCTAGGCGGCCTCCTTGGGGTCCAGGCTGTGCTCTCTGTATCTGCCCCTAGGGTACATGGAGGAAGCCTGGGAGGGAGCCTGGCCCCGCCCTGTCAGGGACCTCTCTGTGCCTCGTGTGTGTAGCTCCTCTCTGAGCTGGGCAGAAAGCACTGGCCTGAGGGCAGGACCCCAGGA